CATTCATGGTTCTCACATTCCATGTCCCAGTCACCAGTGTCTGCTTACAACTGTTCCTCTTCCTTTGTATTTCCATACTTAAAAACTCAACCTCCTTTGCTGTTTCTGTTATCTAAACGTGTTCTGTTGTACATAGGGTTTTCAGAGGCCTACTATTTCAGAAGTGGATAGCTAATCCTTCTTCCTAGTCTGTCTTAACGTGAATGTTCAGATTTAGAGAAGTTTCAGACAGATCAGCAAGTTAAAGGTATATCCCTTATTGCGGCGTTAACTTTAGTGTCAGTGTTGTCCCTGCCTTTCTCACACACGTCTTTACCCACTTATTTCTCTACTCCACCATCCACCAGGATACCCATCCACTTTTACCCCCTCCCTTCACATCTATCTCCCTTTGACCAGCCCTCCATCTAATAACTTATATATGAGGCTTCCATGGCTTCTGTGATTCCAAACACATCAGCTGATGGTAGTTCCTTATGTTGGGATCAATCAGCTACATTTATAAATTCTTTCATGTCAACCAAGATTCAATTTTTTTTTCCTGAGTCTTCACAGTTTTACTTTGTCTTTGTAAATTGCATGTCTTTTATTTCCTTTTCTTGCTTTATTATTCTGGCTAGGAAACATACAAGATAAAATAGCAGTGGTGGAAAAGGGCATCATTGTCTGGTTTCATTTGCAAGGGAATGCTTTCAGTCTCCCTCCAACATAATCCGTATCTTACACTGTAAAAGAAGACTAATACAAAACGGATCAAGGACCTCGGAGTAAAACCTAAAACTGTAGAGCTAATCAAAGAAAAAGCAAAGGCAAACAGAAGAGTCTTGATCGATAGCATAAATAAACTATCAGACTTAACTGAAAATGTCGAATCAGCAGAGGATAAACTAAAGAATTGGATTTACTAAAGAAGTAATTCCTAGGTTAATCTAAAGACTTCTCAAAGGCAGTAAAGAGAGAACTTACAGAAAGGAGAAATAGTTAGCAATGACATATCTCTAAAAAGTATAAAAAACTGTAGCACTCCAACAAGAAACAAACAACTCAGTTACAAAGTATGTAGAGGACATGAAAAAACAAACAAACAAAAAAACAACGCTTCATCAACAAGACATTTGCATGGCCAGAAACATGAAGAAATGGTCAAAGACTCCATTCAAAAGTTTCTGTGTGGAGAGAAAATGCTTTCTTGGCATTGATCAAGAATTCTGCCAGCCAGATTACAAATCCAATTATTCTAAATATTTATTTTCTTCTTTGTTGTTATTATGTGCCATTGTGTTCACTGTGACTCATAATGACCCTGTGCTCAACAGCTCTAAACCCTGCCCTATTCTGAGCCTACTTCATTGTCTCCCACACACCCACCTTTATTACACCCGTTAATGTGTCAATCCATAAATGTCCATTTATTAGAGCAATTTAAAATAGTGTCTTTTATGCATTATGAAAAAATGTTTTCTTACAGAGTTAGTAACCACCTTCGACTTTTATCATTCATCATGGTTTTTTTATTGGTTCCTACCTCTGAATGTTGCTACATATTGAAGATGCTACATATTGAAGCTTGAAGGATGGATAAAATATGGACCTTGCCTTGAGAAACACAATGCGATGGCAGTCAAATACCCTTATTACTAGCTGATGGTGTAGTGTAAGGAGTTGCATTGTTAACCAAAAGCCACACCTGATGATTTGAATTCATCATAGCTGCTCCATTAGAAAAAGATGAATTATCTCCTCCTGTGTGGTTTATAACCTCCAAAACCCAATGGAGGGTCAGTTGTCAGTCAATTCTGACTCAGTGGTGATGAGTTTGGGTCCAGAGTTTATTCCAGCTAAATGTAATATATACAAATGAGAAGCCTGGCTTAAGTTCTCTTGAATGTTATAGTTGAGTACCTTTGACTGGGAACCCTTCAGCAGATTTTTCATAGGCATTAAATTGCATGGGAGGTGATTGTCCATCTTTCTTCCGCAGAGCAGCTGGTGCATTCAAACTGCATACCATTGGATTGGCAGTGCAGTTCCTTACCACTGGGGCAGTAGAGCTCTAGAATTCTGCCCAATTAGGAGACCTAATTTGCCTGGAACAATCTAAAATTACTTCTCTTGGGAGGTATGATTTGAACTGAATTTGAAGAAAATTTTATATAAAGAGAAGAACATAGACAAATCCATCGAGATGTAAAACTTCATCATACTTTTATGTCTGGAGGGAGAATGGCAAGAGTTGAAATTGGAATCATAAGCAAAGGCCAGATATGACCAGTAATAATAACAACTACTGTGTTGCTATTTTGGAGCACAGTTGAATCAGCGCCAAGTCATAGTGACCCTGTGTACATCAGAATGAAACATTCCTGCTCCTTACAGATGTGCTTTTCCTCCGATAGGAAATAGGGATAGTGTTTCTGAGCAGAAAAATTATTCCATCAGATTTGCATTTGGAGATGTTACTAATGTTGACATTGCAGAAACTGAATGGACAGACAGGAAGCAAAGAAAGCTGTTTAGCAACGACTGCAGTGACATAGGCGAAAAATTAGAAATAAGGCTACAATAGTGACAGTGAAAGAAGAAAAAGGTTACATTTAAGCAACTATGAGAAATAAATCTAACCTTTTTCCTTGGCCTATCACTGTCACTATTGTAGTCTGATTTCTAATCAAATTTTGTCGATGATTTAAGCAACTACTCTGAGAAGTAAAAGGAGCTCTGGTGGCCTAGTGGCAAGAAGCTGTGCTGCAGCTCCGAAGGCATACAATTTGAGGCCACCAGCTGTTCTTCAGGAGAAGGATGGGCAATCTCCTCCCATGCAATTAACTGTTTCTGAAAACCCGCTGGAGGGTCAGCAATGGGTTGGTTCTGACTTGACAGTATACAGCAAAGATAATTTTGGTAGGATGGGAAAGAAAAGAGTCTAGGTTAATTCTCAAATGTATTACTTTTAGGATAGAGTGCTTTGACAGAAATAGCACAGCCAAGGAAGAGGCGCAGGTTTGAAGAGCAAGAGCTTGAATTTTACTTTAGAAATGGTAAATCTGATGCAACTCAAACTTATCTCAGATGGAGAGTAGTCTAAGAGAATGCAGTTAGAAAAACAAGTGTAGAATTTAAGCGTGAGCTAACAGGCTTGGTTCAGAGCAGGGCTTCAAACCAGTTCCAACTCGTTCTGTCATAGTTGCCAGCGCAAAACTGGAGCAGGCTTGAATATTTAAAATTTGGGTCATTTGGAAAGCTGACAGGAATGGTGAAAATTACGAGTTGAAGCCCTGAGATGGGAGACTGGGAAAGAGGCATACTGAGTCTTCTCAGGCCTCTGCTGCCTGATGTTGGATTGTTGGCAGATTGTGTAGCCCAGCACGTAAGTGGTGCACTTGGTGTCAACTTCCAGCTGGTTCCCAGTGATTTCCACTCAGCCTGACTAGAGATTGGCGTCTTTAATACACACATAGCTATTTTTTTCCTGAAAGGGAAATTACTTCAACCTGTATTTTCCCCCCCTGTTCTGGTCATCCCACATTATAAAACTTTGGATCTGTTCTGGTGATACATGGCCATAACTGAACTGAGAGGAAGCAGTTCAAATCCCTTGTTGGGAGAATGATATAAACATGACAAGTAAGGCTGTAGGATGAGGGGAAATGTGGAATCAACTAGAAAAGCTATGAAGAACAGAAAAAGATAATGAGAGGAAGTTGAAGTCCTTATGATTTCTTACAGCTGTTAGTGCCATACAATGACAATAACAATAACAATGCAGGCTTATATGATTAAAAAACATAAGTTTTAAAATTTTATTTTCTTTGACCAATTTCAAATACATGTGACATTTTCAATAAAATTATGGTAATAATCTTGCCAAAATTTAGCTAAGACCCTTTGTCTATGACTAGTTGAATTTTCTGCATAGCCTGGGCATAGATTTTTGTTTTAATTTTATTTTACTTAGCTCTTTGTCAAATTAACTATATTGGCCTTAACTCTGACTGGTTCACATTTATTATCTTGTTCAAAGAAATCATATTTCAACAGAAATCATACTTTGAATGTAAGAACTGATTCCCGTCTTATGTTCCTTATTAACTTAAGGAAATGCAACTTCACCACAAGTACAAAGACCGTCTTTCATGGACTACTTTGATAAACAAGACTTCAAGAACAAGAGTCATGAAAATTGTAATCAGAACATGCATGAGCCCTTCCCTGTGTCCAAAAATGTTTTTCCTGATAACTGGAAAGTTCCTCAAGATGGAGACTATGACTTTGTAAGTACATTTTATCTTCTCCTTTTGTTTTATCCTTCTGTATTATGTTGCTACATTGAGAAGTACAGCTTGTGTCTAAATGACTGTGTGTTCATATAAAATGTAAAACTGCATCTTAATACTCAGTCTATAGAAACATATGTAGGTAGGTAGGGGAATGGTAAAAATTACCATTTTCTTGTAGAAATGCACTTGCAGAGGAATGTAGTTAAATTATGTCCCAAATTCGGATAGGTCAAACTCTTTAAAGCCACAATGGTAGTATAATTTTAAGGGCTATTATTAATCATGTGACTATGAGATGGCTTTTAAGTCAACAAGCTGTTATGAAGATGAGAATGATGAAAAAGTTTTGACAGAAATTTTACCTCAATTTTAGTGTTAGTTTCTACTCGACTAAGTATTAATTTTACTTGGTTTATCTGGAATAATGATTTTATTTTCAGTCCTATTAGCATATGAACTTGAAAACTGTCCTTAATTGAAAACGGGCCTAATTTCTTGCATTTTTTTTCTTTTTTTATTTTCTCTTGTTCTTTGTTATTAATTTCTTTTAAAGAACATATAGAATACAAATGAACAATTCTGGAGTGACTGTTTTTGGACAGATTCTCAAAATTACTTTATTGACGGTGCGAAGAAAAATATTGCACAGTGAATTCTGGCTTTAGCAGGGTTGTAATTGTAGTGGGCTACAATTGCATGTTGTCCTTTAAGAATATTTCCTCCAGATAACTACAGCTTTTTAGAGATATTTACTTACAAAAACACTTAAAACTACAAAAAGACACATAGATGTATTGCTCTATAATTTTTAAGTAATCTTAAACCAGTTTGTTTAGGCACTATACCTCTAAATGCTTTATAAATATTTAAGTTTTTTTTTTCCCTGTTGTTGTTAAGTGCTGTTGAGTTGTAGATGACTCATAATGACCCTATGAATGAAAGACCTGAACACTTGTATAACTTTCATAATTTCTCCAAGTTCATAGCATTCCTGGAGGCAAGCTATTTTGGAAGAGGATGCCACTCCTGCTTCCAAGCTTGTTTTAATCAGCGAGCTCCACCAAACACTGTTCACCAAGGATAACCATTATCGCATTTGACACATCAGTGTCACAGTGTTCAGCATCATAGCAACCATGAGGATGTGTCAAATGAGATTAAAACTTTTCTCCTAAGTATAAAATTATATGGGTGTTTAAATAAATAGTTAAATTTCAAAATATATTCTCAGTAAACTCATGACTAATTGCTAGCAGATATTAGCAGTATAATGAAAGGATAGCCTGAAAACATTTGTTCAGTCTGCCTATTGTTTTTCATTTTTGAAGTTCGAAAATAGGAAGTAAAATCTATTTATAATCCTAATAGATTTCATTTTAAGCTACATAGTTTAGAATTTAATTATTTAGATTTTGACAGATTTTAAATCATTCATGAACACAATAAATAATGTAGAATATTTAGCATCAAAGAACTCTGCCCTCTTTCACTTGGAATAAATCTTCATAGTCTCTACAGAACAGTCTGAAGTGAACTAAAAGTTATAAATAACTTATAATGGTGTGACAATTGATAAAATGATTTAATTTATGTTTCAGTTATTACCATCATCCTAAAATTTAGTGACTTAAAGGTAATTATCCTATTAGCTCACAATTTTGTGTACCAGCAGTTTGAATCAGTTTATGTGAGTGGTCATTTTGCTAGTTTTCTTAAGGTCTCTCAGATGGCCACGATCAGTAAAGAGTGGATGGTCTCTCTTGAAATGGCGTTACGTGTGTCTAGAAGTTGCCCTGGTTAGTAGCAGGTTCACATGTGCCTATTAGGCAAAACTGGACTTTTGATGTGGTGGTTAGCAGCCTTCCAAGTGTGAGACCAGAAGTTGCAAGCCTTCTTAAGATCCAGACTCAGGATCTGTATATGTAGTGTCTTTATATATATATATATATGCCTGCCATATACTGTTCATTAAAACAAGTCACAGTGCATTCTAGATGCAAGAAACATGGAAATAGATTTCCCCTCATGATGGAAGGAGCTGCAAAGCGTATTGAAAAGCTCTGTGTGGAGGCATAGAAGGAATTATTGTGATCTTTTTTTGCAAATAATCTGCTAGATAATGTCATAAATGACATGAAACAGAAATTAGAATATCAAATTTAGGAAATTGGAGGTCATAAGTTTAAAAGTTTAGCAGAAACACTTATGTGTATGAAAGTAGATACATGTATTGCTTTACAATTTTTAAATAATTTTAAATCATTTTGCTTAGACAGCATGCCTCTAACTAAGCATTTTCAAATTATAAATATTTTTAACTTTTAAATCTGGCAGCACTTTTCCCAAGACATATCTGTTTGTTCTTTTGGCAGTCCATGAGATACTCAGTTATTTTCTCTAGCACCACAACTCAAAGACATCAGTTCTTCTTCTATCATCCTTGCTCATTGTCCAGCTTCCTGATCTGTACCGGGTGATTGAGAAGATCCTAGCCTGAATCAAGAGCTTCTTAGTCTTCAAACTAACATCATTACTCTTCAGTATTTAGGAGAGGTTCCTGACCTCAGACTTACCTAATGCAGTATCTCGCCTGATTTCCTAACTGTTGGCATCAAGGGTGATTTTTGATCCAAGCAAGATGAAATCATGGACAACTTCATTCCTTTCTCCATCTTTTAGTGTTGACTGTCGGTCCTGTGGTGAGGACCTTTGTTTTCTTGATATTGAGATGTAATCCATATTGAAGGCTGTAGTCCTTGATTTTCTGCAGCAAGCATTTCATGTCCTTCTCACTTTCAGCAAGCAAAGTTGTGTCACATCTGCATTATTCAGGTTGTTGGTAAGCCTTCCTTTAGTCTTAATGCCACACTATTTTTCATAGAATCCACCTTCATGAGTTTTGTGCTCAGCCTACAGATTGAATAGGTATGGAGAAAGAGACAACCATGACAAACCTTTCCTGATTTTAAATCACCCTGTACCCTTGCTCTATTTAGACAACACCTTCTTGGTCTAGGTATAGATTTCATATGAGCACTATTAAGGGTTCTGGGATTCCCATTCTTAATGTTATTCATAATTTGTTATGATCCACACAATCAGATGCCTTTGCATAGTCAGTAGAACATAAAATGCATACTAAAAAGCTTAAAAGCAGGAAAGCACAAGTGATAGACCATAAATGAAGTAGAGACTTTCAAATCTAAGTTGATTCATTTGAGAAAATAACTACTAAGTTATTTGCAATAATTTATTTTCAATAACTACTGCAAAGTAGTCAAGCTTTGAGCAAGACTTGGAAGTTTGAACCTTTATGGATTGAAAAAAAATGACTGCAAGTAAGTCTAAGTGCATAGGTATCATGGGCATAAAATAACAGAAACAACCTAAGTGCCCATCAACAAATGAATGGATAGAGAAGCTCTGTTATATTCACACAATGGAATACTACACTACATTGAAAAAACTAGGAACTCATTCAATATTATTCAAAATTGGTGACCCTGGAGGACATTATGCTGAGTGAAATATTTCAGTCACAAAAGGACAAATACTGTATGATGCCACTGTTATAGAATGAGGCTAACATCAAGGTGGGGGTAAGACTGAGGAAAAACTGGATAAATTATGTATACCGCATTGAAGCTGATGAGGGAGAGAACAGTTTAAAAATAATATATTTTAGGGCATTATGATTATAAGAGTTTGGAATGAGGGTTGCAGAGTGGGGTATACTTGGGGTAGGGGCGCGGGGGCATTGTATACCATTGAAGGAGTTTTTTCTTTTGCTTTTCAAGGAGAAGGGCGAACTGGGGGTGGGGTGCGGTGGGCAGGGAGAAGAGTGCAACAGTGAATGAATGGAAATCCAAAATCTCTGTAAATGTTCATTGAAATTAATTAAAAAAATAATAGAATAAATGAAATGCAGAGGGAGCAAAACACGTCAGAGTTAGATGTAAATGTTATTAGAAATTATTAGGCAACAGAAATAGGTGGTTCACTGGGTTAGAGTACTATTTATTGGTTAAGGTGAAGAACTAAATGATAAAAGGGTAAGGGGGGGAAGAAAGAAGATGCCCTCCCAGTATAAAGGGGACTGGCTGGGGGCTCACATGGCTCGATCTAATGTTTGAAGAATTATTTCTTTTCCTAACTCTCAGGGCATCCAGCACAAAAAATATTGAGTGAGGATGCACACTTCATTGACCTGCTTTCTTTCCCATATATGAGCAGTGTTATTTCTTATGTGCTATTTAAGTAGTTAATTAGCAGTCTAAGTAAGTAGTGATGCTGCCAGTCTCCTTCAAACAAATACAAAATTTAAAAAGGGGAGTGGGAGAGGGACGAAGCTGTGACCAGAACACTTCCTCCCTAGTATTTCCTATACCTGTCAACCAGAACAGGCTTCATGTCTCTCATCACTTTGAGGAAGTGGAAAATGTTGTAATAGCCCCTGAGGGGAATATAAATGGGAATAATAAATAAGACGTGCACAGTAAAGGATTGGCAAGAGCTGGATAGAAGATTTCTAAGAATAATAAAGAAAAGAAGAGTAATTAATAGGGGCAAAAAGAGATTAGGAGGCCAAATAGTGAACACTTTGGTGGAATGCTTTGCTTACAAAGTAAGGAAACAGACTAAAAGCAAAGGTGGATTTCTACATATGACAGCAGCTGGTAATGATAAGTCAAATCTAGTCTTATTCATTCCATCACACATAAGATACAGAATGTTAAAAAATGTGACCTAAGTATAGTATGCTAAGGTTTATGTGTTTGTCTCCCTCTTTATGGTGTATCTCAAGGCTCTTTTCCAAAAGAGAACCAGTTTTTGTGTGATTTCTATGTCTATTTAATAGAAGTTGCCAAAAGGAAAACCTGGAGTTGTTTTGACCTTATTTCCAGAATGTGAAGGCTTATTATCCTCCTGCCTTAAGGAAAATTGTTTTCAAGAAAGAAAAATGAAAAGAGCACTTCCTTGTCATTTGTAGTATC